GAACTGTAAATTTTTCCCTTTAATTAATGTGGGATTTTTTTATCAAATAGCACTCCAGATAAAGATCTCCACTTTAGCCACCCTTGATTAATCTTACTCTTTATCTCTTTTTCTATTGTGCCGTTTGTTTGTATAGTGGAGCCCAAATATTTGCAGCTTTCAATTGCCGATATCTGCCATTCATTTATATCAATACTCTCTGTTTCATCTCCTCCTATCACCATATACTCCGTCTTTTCTCTATTTACTTTTAATCCGTGCGTTTCTAGGATATTTATCCAACTCACTAGTCTTTCTTTCATTTCATCCTTAGATTCGGCAAGTATCACAATATCATCTGCAAATATCATATTCCACGGGACTGTTTGAGGTATAGACTATGCTAATACATCTATTACTGTAATGAAGAGAAGTTGAGAGCCGACCCTTGATGAACTCCTTCGGCTATTGTGAAGCCTGCTGAAGTACCTGTTGTGCTACGGACCATTGTTGTATGGCCCATATACATATCCTGTATTATTCTTATATATTTTTCGGGAACATTTTTGTGGCGTAGCGCCCACCAGATAAGTTTTCTTAGGATTCTATCAAAGACCTTTTCAAGATCGAGAAAGACCATGTGTAGCTTTTTGTTCTTTTCTCTGTATTTTTCACTTATTTGCCTAATTGCGTGGATAGCATCGGTTGTTGATCTTCCAGGCATAAAGCCAAACTGAGTCTCTCCTATTTCGATTATATCTCTTAATCTTTTTTCTATTATTTTTTCGTATAGTTTTAGACAGTGTGACATTAGTTTTATGCCCCTGTAATTTTGACAATTATGTGGATCCCCTTTATTTTAGAAGATAGGAACTAGATAGCTCTGCCTCCATTTTTGGGGAACCTCTCCAAGTATCTTATTGTATAGATTTGTGAGGAGATGTATTCCATCATCTCCTAGTACTTTAAGGCTTTCTATTGGAATATCGTCTGGACCCCTAGCTTTGTTGTTTTTCATATGCTTGAGGCATGCGATTATTTATTGTTGTGTTATAGGTTGTACAAGGTTTTGACAAGGGGAGTGTTCGTCTAGATGCAATATGTGGGAATTAAAGTTGAGAAGCTCCTGAAAATATTCTCTCCATCTACTCATTACTTCTTTTTCCTTTATTATCAATTTCCCATCTTTATTTTTGATTACTTTCGGAGCTCCGTTTATATCCCTAGAGTTCTTTTCTCGCTGTTTGGCTAATCTGTATATTTTATTTTGCCCTTCTTTGGTATGTAGATCTTCGTACATGTCATCGTATGCCATAGATTTGACTCTAGCCACCGCCTTTGTAGCTAATCTCTTGGATTTTTTGTATCTTGTCTTGTCATCTGCGTTTTTGGATTTGTACCATATTTTATAAAGGGCTTTTTTCTCCTGTATAGTGGTTTGTACCTCTTCATTCCACCACCATAGTTCTTTGTATGATTTGTTGCCTCCTCTTGTCAAGCCTAGTGTCGATTTGGCAGTGTCTATTAATCTGGACACATTTTTTCACTGACTTGTGAGGAATCTATTGTTTCAATGTTTGCATTGATTGCAACGGCATCTGCCATTGTTTTTAATTTGCCCCATTTGATGCATGGTTCTAGTTTTATCTTGTTTTGAGTGGATTTATTTGAGATGTGTAAATCCATGACTAGTAGATTGTGTTGTGCGGCAATATCTTCTCCTGGGATGACTTTGCAGTCTATTACATCTTTTAATCTTCTGCGAGAGATTAGTATGTAATCTATCTGTGTTTTCCTTGTACCACTTTCGTATGTTATTAAATGACTATCCTTTTTCTTATAGTAGGTGTTGGTTAAGGCAAGGTCGAAGGCTTGCGCAAATTTCAGTATATGCTCTCCTTCATCATTTCTTTCTCCATATCCAAAACCGCCATGATGCCTTTTGTAGCTATTTCTTGCTTTCCCCACATGCGCATTTAAGTCACCACCAATTATGACTGGTCATCCTTAGGGATTTCCATTACAGCTTCATCGAGGATAGCTCTAAAATCATCTTTCTCTTCTTCCTTGCAACCCGTTTGAGGAGCATATAATGAAAGGATGTGTAGTATTGATTGACCAATGCAGAGTTTTATCTTCATTAGTCTATCAGAGATCCTGTTGACTTCTACAACTGAGGCGTGAATTACATTTAATTCGTTCATACATTTAACGTAAATAATTTGCGCGATGACATTTTAAATTATTAACACCGGTGCAATGTTTAACAAGCAAAGTTGGAAGATCTTGACTGAGGATGATGCCCATACCTTTCCTATTGCTAACAAGTCCATTATAGTACAATTTATACCCATCTCCAATCATCAAAGTCTGTCTTTTCCATTTCATCTCTTGTATGCACGCTATATCAACTTTTCTCTTGTTCAACATTGATGCCAATTCTCTCGTCTTACCTTTAAGCGTCCCAATATTTAAAATTGCTAATCTTGTTTTCTTTGCTTTGACCTTTACTTTACTTTTCACAGGATGGTAGTCTACACCCTGCGCGTCGCTTGGAGGGAACGCCCTATCTTTCATATTCATATATCCATTTGTTTTCTTCATTTTTGTTTATTGGACAGGTATCCTTAGCACCCGGCTGTCCAGGCCTGTCGGTGACCGGGGTGTCATCTATAAGCTCCGAAATTCATCATACCATATGTCTTTACACATCAGTCATCGAAGAAAAACTTCAAAGTTTTTATGGTTCTTACCAGGATTGAACCTGCGTCCTTGTTCACACTCGTGTTTCCAAGCATACATCTTACCCATTAGGCCACCCCGGCGAGGTTTAATCAGATATCTTCCGTTTTCCTTAAAAATGGTTGCACAGTTTGAATAATTGCCCATATTCCACAATAGCTTATACTTAGAAAATGTAATTTTTGAAATGGTTTTAAAATGGACTTCGTTACCTGCCTTTTCAATATCAACATATGCGTGAGATTTAAAGTGTGTGCTTAACAGGAATGATTCTTAGGTAAGTATACAATACTATCATTAGTATTTTGATTTTCAAATATATCTAATAATGGCAAATAAACTATTTCATCACCCAATTCCTCTCCTTTGTTCATATACTCTATTAAATTTTAATAAATATATTATAATTTTTTACTTGAAAGCTTTTATATAATTTCTAGCATTGTTGGTAATGCATTTGGTCACTTTATTTTGTATCTTTTATGTGGTAAAAATTTCAAAGATTATTTTTGCTAGATAATCAAATGTGTGTTTTTGGTTTAGCCTTAAGCAGGCTGAAACCCTCTCAAGAGTGTCTGGGTGTAGCCAGTGTACCGTCATCTCATAAGAACTTTTTTAAAATACAAAATTATTCTATAAAATATATATTTTAAATACTGATGATAAGCTGACCAAGACAGTTGTACAGATAATTTTTATACACAATAAATCCACTAATTTCTTTGCCATGGTGCATATGCTTTGTTAATTTTTATACGAAGGTAGGCTTAGACATCACATTTTTAGATGGCTGCAATTTTTTGATAATATTAACAAATTTACAATTGAAAATGGTTGTAATTCTTTCATTACAAAATTAAAAACTAATTCACCAACTGCTGATTGAGCTATTTTTATTTTTGATGTAGATGGATTCTGCATCTCAATCAGTGAGTTGATTGGCTTCAATTTTTTTTTACTATTCAAATGTTCATTAATCTCTTTCATTTTTGAGGAATCTACAGTCTATAATTTTTTAATTAAAATATTATTAATTCCGGAATTTTTTATCAAAAAAAAACTTAGCCTTTTCAATAATTGAAGATTTTTAAAAATTTAATTGCATTTTTTAATCCCAAATAATTTTTCAATTTAATATCTTTTTCAGAATCATCATTTAAAAAGAAATCAGGAAAAATATCTATGTTCAGTTCTCAAAAACAATATTGCTTCATAGTTTTATTCCATATATATTTATTTAAACAAAAATTTTTTAAATCACTATTTTATTCTTTAAATTTATTAACAATTTGAAGTTAAACCAATAGCAATACTAAAACAAGAAATAGAAGATATTATTTACCTATATTTTGTTAAGCTTGGGGTTTTAATCTTGGTTCCCAGTCCTATGCTATAGTATAATTTAATTGCTTATATTTTAATATGATTAAGCTTTTCAAAATATTATAAAAGAATACTTCTTTTAATGGTCATTTTATAATACCCAAGATTTAATATTCTATTTAAAGTAATGTTTAAAATTATAATATATTAATTCATCTTTTTACCTTCATATTCTTTTTCAAGTTTGAACTGCTGGACATTGAGGTTGAAATATTTACGTTGGGACATAATTTACATTTACAAAGTATAGACTTTGTACCCTTAATTATGGTGTAAAATATGTTTCAAATTGGGGCCAGGGAAGGGTTAAATCATCTTCATCTGAAGAAATACTATGGGCATAATACTCTTAAAATAAATTATAAAATGAATAATAATATTATTAACATTTACTTTGAATTTTGATTGAATATATTAGATTAACATTCGACTAAAAATTTAACAATTAGAATTTAAAATAAAAATGAAGGGATGGTGGTTGGTTGATACGAATTAAAAACTCGGCTTAAATTAATTATATTAAAAAGTAAATAAAAGTAATTTTATTTGTACAATAAAACATGTTTTTCTTTTTTTGATATTTTTTTTAAAAAAAATTTAAAGTAACGAATAACGTTTTGCGTTACCGTTACTCAAAAAAAGAAACGTGTTACCGTTACCTCTAGAAGAAGGTAACGAATGGCGTTACGTTTCTTCAAAAATGGTAACTACGTTAGCAACGACGTTACATTTTTTACGTTACTTTACAGCACTACTTTTTGTTATTTAAAATAATACTGTTTAAATTATTCAAATAAATATTAAAAAGTATTTTAAATACAGGTATTTACGATACTATTCGACTCTCTATAGCTTATTAGAAATTTAATAATTATATATATACTTCATTCATGTAGGATTGATTGATTATAATTTCCAATGTCTCAAGGATGCCATCAAAGAAATATTTGAATATGGGAGGTTCTATCAAAATAAAAAATCAATCAATGCAAAGTAATAATATAATGTGAGTCTTAATAATTTAAAAGAAAAATAATTATAAGTATATAACATATATGAATTAGCCATCTATATGTATTTCTATTTGATCATTGTATACTTTTTTTAATTGCCACAAAGTTTATTTAAATTTGTTATATTATTTATTAATGATAGTTAATTTTTATCAAAATTATGTCAAATTGAGGAAATTGACTATTAATTATAGTAATTTTTAATTAATATACGATCTATTTATAAATTATTGTTAATATTGAAAAACACTTGATTATGCTTGATATAAATTATTATACTCTAAAAACAATGCATACATAATTTTTATATTTATTTATGTATAAATAATTATTAGAAATACATTATGTTTGAATTTTGACCTATATTTGGTATCCATACATTTAAATGATTAATTGAACAATTTTGAAACAAATTGATTTACAATTATGATATAAAAACTAGCAAGATATGAGTATTCAACTTATTTTTATAAAATCTTACCAACTCTTTGTGAAATATTAAGTTAAAATAATATAATAAGTATGTTTTGGTTATAAATAACTCATAATAATGTCAGATTTTTATTGTTGATTTGTGTTTTATTAAATAAAAAGCGTTAATAGCATAAATTATACAAATGTTTGACCATTATACTCAACGTCATTCGGTGGTGAGTCATGGAAGCATTTTCTGGCATAGTTAAATTAGATATTTATAAATTTAATAATAAAATTTATATTGTTAAACTAATTAATTAGATGGTTTTAAAAATATTAATTTATTTTTTATAATTTTTAAATAAAAGAAAAATCGTTTAATTATTTGGTATATGAGAAATGGAGATCTCTAATATATTTGGGATTAAAATTTTTAAACCTAGGGTAGTTTCTAGACAGTCCAATCCCTTAATTATGGATGCATCTATACGATTGAAGATTTTTATAAAATAAATATTTTTATTCCCCTTATTGATATTTATTTATTTCAATTAAAGGAAAGATTTATATGTCAAAATTTTATTTTAAACAGCTTTTATTTTCTTTTTCCGGTTGAGTCTGAATACACTTGAAATGCTAGAGGATATTAAGAAAATTTCAGAGTTTTATTCTGATGATTTATCAGGATCATATGATAAGTTACTTTGTGATGTCGAATTTTGGTATAAAAAAATGTTTTACAAGCCCTTTCCATGTGTAATTGCACTTTATATTCCCTGCTTAATATTAAAACATTGGTTTTTATTTTAGCTATCTTACAGATTAGTATCTTCCCTAATGAAAGGTCTTTTTCAACTTTGGACAGGTTTAAATCCTATTTAAGAAATAGCACCGGTGAAAACCGTTTAAATGGATTAGCTATATTAAATATTTATAAGGAGATTATTCTAGATAAAAATTTGATTCTAGATGAATTAGATCTCAAAAAAAAGTAGACCTCTCTTTATAAATTCAAATCATAAAATTGCAATATGATTATAATATATTCTTAGTCATAAAATTTTTATATGCAAAACTTAATTATAATGAATTCTTAGTCATAATATTTATATATTTTTTATATTATATTATTTTTAATAATAGTATTGCATTTGCAATAAAAATTATTTATATTTTGATAATAAACTCATTTGTATTAATTAAAAATTTCTACATTTTAAAATTTATTTTATTGTATATTATCATTAAAATAAATACATAGTTAAATAAAGGGATGTTATTTATACTAAAGTATTTTAATAATAAATAAAATCTACAATGAAATTCTCTGCAAAATTTTGTTACATGCAAAAATTTAAAATAATTATTTTTAACATATAATAAGATATGTTGATTGATCATAAAAAATGGGAGGTTTGGGGGAGGCGAATTTTTTTTCTTTCTAAACAGAATAATTAATTTACAATTGACTAAGCATTGATAAAATTTTCAGAATAATGCTTTCAGTCGCTTATTATTCATAAATTTGGCCAAAATTTTGTTACTAATATTTTTATCACTTACACTGGCTATTATAGTGGTTAGACAATAATAAAGCACAAAATATTGGTCCAAAATATTTTTTACCTTTATGGATCAATCCTGGCTACACCACTGCATGGAAGTTTAATATAATAAATTAGAATTTATGAAACTTTGTTTATTAAGTGATATTCTTAATTTATTTTCTAAAAATGTCGATATTTTTTTGGCGTACTATTTGTTTGAAGGGCTAAGTTGACCAATACTCATAAGATTTACTATACCACATGGTTCCTGTGATCCAAAACTCATCATTCATCCTGGGATTACCATTATACAAACATACTAATAAAATATATATTATAAACATTAAAATGTTGCACTCTAGGGGTTGTGCAATATTTCTGCTAGGAAGATGTATATACATGTTGGTCATAGACCTGCAAAAAGTGAGCGATGCCAATTTTTTTCTTAAGGGTACCAACAAACCTTGTAACTCAGATGTGTTTTATCATATTGAGTGTAACTACACCCTATCCAATTATAGTATTAGAATACAGTATAGTTATGATTGTATAGGAGAAAGGATTAGAAGGAAACGAGAACGAAAATTATTTCTTCTAAATACAAAACTAGTTATTATTTAATTAGTTAGCTTTTCCGTTTAGATATTGAGGAATTTTATAAATTTAGTACATATTATGTAATCAGTCTAAGAACGTTATTATAAACCTAGTTAATTTTATTTAGGTGTTGTAGGTATATATAATTAGTATTTAATAATTTACCTATTAACTGTAAATGGCATATAAATTATCTTATTTAGTACTGGAGTCCTATAATAGTATATTAAATTTTGCTATATAAATGGAATCATCTTTATTAGGGCTAATAGAGATCCCTTAATCTACCTTTATATGAGTCTATATATCTTAGTCAGATGAATTATACAATGAATGAATTTTAACATATTATACATTATTACTTTATATCAATATTAAAATTGGGACTAGATAATATCTATCTTGAAATAACCTCTAATAGAGTAATTACCTTTTAAAAAACTCAGCAGTCATTCGTCAGATGCTCATAGAAAAATCTTAGAATGGTTTTGTCAGTTTTCCTATCAGTAGAAGCTCGCTAAATGAATTCCGAGGATATGCCTATCCCCGCTAATGATCGAGTTATCTTGCCGAATCAATTATTTTTATAGGTTAGGAAAGTTTGTGGGTTGACTCCTTAGGGGATATTTTAAAGAGAGCTTGATATATTAAATTTTTAGGAGCTTGTCTAATAATATGTCCCACTAGTTCTATTTTCCTGTATTCTATCATTCTATATATTGGGAGTGTCGCATGGACCATAAATATAGTTATGCGGGAAGAAAGTTTTAGTTATATAAGACATTTATTATCAAAAGTTTGCATCTTTTTATTTCCCTGTTTTGTATCGTTCCAAGTTTCAATTCCATAATGTAAAGAAGGGAGTATTAGAACTTTGAATAGACGGATCTTTAATGTAATTGACAATATAAATGAGGCTGGGATTTTTTCTTTTAAGCTTGATATATTTTAAAATTTCATTTATACATAAAAAAGTAGGTCAAAAAAATTACTGTCAGGCTTATTTTGCAGGCTACTATTAGTAAAGAATACATGATATATTATTTTTAAGTTTTAAATCACCTTTGATCAAAAAATTACTGTCAGAATATCAATTTTGCAGGTTATTATTTGTAAAGATGTATGATATATTTATTAAATAGGTTTTAAATTTACTTTATATAAAGTTTATTGGTAAATTATAACATGTTCTAAATTATTTATATTTTTTATATTCTAACATTTTAAATATCAATTTGTTATATTTCTCCTTTATATATTTTTTTAAAATATTTAATTATTTGTCATAATAAGAATTATTCGAAGGAATTATGTTCTATCATATTTGATTTTTCTTTATCGTTGTCTTGTATTATAAGTATACATTTGATGTTATCTTATAAATTATTCTTCAATTTACGTTCATTTCATACTAAAATAACCTCTTTAAGTTTTATATCAAGCCTACTCTTTATTTTCTAAAACTTTCGAAGAAAATGAGTATCGTCGTTATCAAGGTAGAAGATCTTTTGGTTATCCTATTTATACAGTAATAATCACTTGAGAAATTTAATTTCTATTTCCCCTTGTAAAAAATGTACATAGTTATTTTTTCTGATTATTATAATTAAAATGCCTGATTTGATTTTTATTTATTTTGAGAATTTTATTGGATTAATTAACATTTTTTATTTCTTTGTCGTTAATGGCCTGGGCATAAATTATAACTTGTTTCAATGACAGTTCTTTATTGGTAGCACATTTATAATTTGTTCCTCAATAATTCTTTTAAATATGGAAAACTCAATGAATTTATTTTTTGCAAATAATTAATAACTTTTTCTTAAAGTTCGTTTGCACTATAATATTGCTAAATATTTTTATCATTTTTTTGAAATAATTTATTCAACATTCAAATTTCTTTGAAAGAAATATCTTTAATATATTTTGTATACATTAGATTCTTTATTTTGCAAATAGTAGGCATTCAAATATACCCCAAGATCATTTTTTTGAATCTTTACTATATGCTTTCAACAAATTATAATTTCTAAATAATCATCAATATCAGTATTGCTATCATCAAATGAATTTAAAATCATTTTTGAATAATCACCACATTGACATGATTTCTATATTTATCATTAATTGATGAATTTTCTTCCAATAAGTTATCATCAGAGACCTACAAGCCCAGGTACACAGGCCGGCTCGTATTTTAATTTTTTAATATACCCAGGCCGGACCTATAAAATTTGTTTATTAAATAGCCGGGCCGGGCGGTTGTTTAAAACCAAATATTTTAAATCGCCATTATTAGTTATGAAAATTAAAAAAATATATTTTAAAAAATCCGGACCCCTGAAAAAAAACAAGGTCCGGGCAGAAAAAAACGAATTTTTTTTAAGATATCCTGGTTGGGCCGTGCAAATGGCACCTCTGCAGGTTTATAATTATTATAAATCAATTTTTTCCTTTATTATTTTTTTCCATCGACTTGCCGACTGCGCCAGTAGATAATGTATTATAATTTATTAGTTTTAAATTACCTTTATTGGTAAATTATAATATCTGTTTTCAATTATTTATAGTGTATATTTTAGAATATCATATTTTAAAATATTAAATATCTATATAAAACATGCATAGGATTTGGTTTTATCAAATGAACTAGGGTAAACA